CTCAGAGCATCCCCACACTTCTACCACTACCACCCGCCACCAGGCTCAGAGCATCCCCACACTTCTACCACTGTCACCCACCACCAGGCTCAGAGCATCCCCACACTTCTACCACTACCACCCGCCACCAGGCTCAGAGCATCCCCACACTTCTACCACTATCACCCACCACCAGGCTCAGAGCATCCCCACACTTCTACCACTACCACCCACCACCAGGCTCAGAGCATCAGGGGAAAGTAGCTCATCCCAAAGTGGTTGGCAGAAGCTGGAATTAAACTGAAGTGGTCAACAACGGGGAAATCAGTGGCTAAGGGCAAGACACATGGGATGGGATGGGATGGGATGGCCAAGCTCTTGCCAAACTGCAGGTGAGCTAATGTGTCAGCACTGAAACAGCAGGGGGTCAGTACTTACAGGTATGTAGTCTGGAGGGATAGCAAGCTGCGTGTTAGCTCCTCCCAACTCCAGACTCTAGTGTGGAGACAAAGAGAACCAAGTTGTGAAAAGGAGAATCTCATGAATTATAACCCCAAGACAAGAGGCTAGCTTATAATGGGCTCTGGCAGAAACAGAATCTTCTGTGCCTTTCATTTTTATTGCCTACCGTTACCAGTATCCTTATAAATCCGGTCTTTGTCTTTGGGCATCAGAAACATTACATATACAAAGGGTACCCCCCAAAACTAGGAACTGTGCTTGGCAGAGTAGAGCTTTTATAGTACACATTTTTCCCTGCTAGGTGAGCATCAAGCAACTTGCTGTGAGTTGGGACACCCAGGGGCGTTGCCTGGGAAGGTTCTCTGGTCACAGTGAATTTTTTCTTGAAAGCAGTTTCACTGGAACCTCGTTTTTTTTGTGATGGCAGATTTCAGAGAATAGCTGTGAAATTTTGTTTCCTGCTCAGGAAAAATGCTGCAGAAACTGTAATGATGTTGAACACAGCTTACAAGGACAGCCCTATGGGAAAAATTCAAGTGTACAAGTGGTTTTCTTGTTTCAAAAAAGGTGAAATGTTGATTGATGACAACTAGTTCTGGAGGTCCGTCAACTTCCCGAACAGATGAAAATGTCGACTCAGTTTCTGGAGTTCATTCCACCAGGTCAGAAGTTAATCAAACTTCCTATTTAGAGGTTCTGAAAAGATTGCTTAACAGTGTGCAAGGAAAAAGGCCTGATTTGTGGCTGATGGGCACTGGTTTTGTCACCACGACAATTCACCTGCTCATGCAGCCATCTCAGTTCACCAGTTTTTGGCAAAAAACAGCATGCCTCCATTGTACCACACAACATACTCACCTGACCTTGCTCCATGTGACTCCTTTTTGTTTTTGCAAATGAAAAGGGGCATGAATGGCCAGCGATTTGATGACATAGAAAAAATGAAAAAAAAAAACGAGGAGATGCTGTCAGCCACCCAAACCGATGAGTTTGAAAAATGTTTCCCAGAATGGAATCAGGGATTAGACGAATGTATTAAGTGAAATGGTGGGTACTTTGAAGGTGATAAGGTTGTTTTGTAAAAAAAAAAAAAAAGTGAATACATAGCTTTGAAAACAAATTCCAGGGTTTTCTCGGTACCCCTTGTAAATTTATAACACCAGAATGCACCCTGAAACATTGTACAAGAGGGGCTTCAAAAAGCTAGTAGGAAAATTCTATTATCTTTTAGCTCCATATTTAGGAACTTTTTGAAGCCTCCAAACATATCACTAATAACAAGATGGACTCCCCACATCCTACCCCAAAAGAATGTGGCTAAGTGCAGTTCATCATAACTAGAATATACTGTAAGTCAGTGACCACCTGGTCAGATAACAAGTAACAACGTGGAGAAAGAGTGAAATGAGAAGAAGGCCTCCCTCAGGTGTCTTCCACAGCTTTCGGGGCCTTCTACTACTTCCAGGGTCAAGTGCAAACCCTCTACTTTCTGGGCCTGTCTCCCCACCAGCTACTTGCTCCTTACACCCCAGCCCAGCAGTGAACTAGTACTATTTGAAGAAGGCACCAGTGTCTAAAGTCCATACCTATAGTCGCTTTGCCTGGCCTGCCACTCTCCCTCTCAGCCCAAAGCGCTTTTTCACTGAAACAGCATTTACAAATTATCCACAATACACCAAGCCATACACATTAACAAGGCGCATACAGTCACCGGTCTCACAGAGCTTGGAGTCTATCCAAAACAAAAGTCAACAATTCTGGTTACGGATGAGCAGATTGGCTGGCTACAAAGGAGTTAGGGAAAGGTTTTTGCAACTCAAGGCAAAGGGTGGGCAGCCAGGGAGTGTGCAGACCGGAAAGCAACACGGTTGCAGAAGTCGTCTGGGTAGAAATGGTGGTGGCCTGCACTCGGGTGGCAGAGTGGATACTTGAAAGGGTTGGTCCATCTGCTGGTCGTAGGACCAGCCGAGGATGGAGAGGATGACAGCACCGTTCTCAGTTGCTAAGTTATTGGGTCCATCCTTCCCTACCACACAACTAGCACGGTTCCTAGTATCACTCAAAACGTCCAAACCGTGTCGATCAGTGAGGAGCGGTGGTGTGGTGTCCGCTGTAATGGATGAAGCCCGCTAGTGGGTTGAACGGCCCCGTGAGGTTTCCACGGCTGTTTGCGCACAGGGTTCAAACTGCTGGGTAAGTGGAAACCGCCTAGCCTTGGGCTAACAGCCCAGCGTTTCATCTCGGCACCCCGGGAACCTTCCCGCCTAGCCTACACAACTGCACTGCTACGCTGTGCCATCCGGAAAAGCCAGGGCCGGTCGCTTCGCGTCCCCGGCGCCCCAGTAATGTTCAGAGGGCACGCGGGCGCGGCGGCCCGGGGCGGCGGCGACACTCCTCCCGGCCGGCTGTGCACACTGCGTGCCGGCGGGGGGGGGCATGAAACGGGCCGGCCCCACCCCCACCCCGCGGCGGGCCCGCTCCTACCTGCTCGGCGCTCCTCGAGGGCAGCGTCCGCGCGCCAAGTCGACACGGACCCGCTCTCGCCCAGGCGGCGGCTCCACGTGCGTCCGGGACGCGCATGCGCGGCGCCGTTCTCGGGCGCCGGCTGACGCGCAACGTGATCATCACATTTCATGACCCAACGTGAAGTCCCATCCCGCGGAGAGAGCTGCCCCGCAGGCGACAAAGCAGAACGCCAAACGAACTGCCATCCAGGCGATGGGGATTTAAAGCAACTCTAACCCGGAAAGCCTTTGGAAATGTCCCGGAAACGGCAGTGCGCAGGCGCGACGTTCTTCTCGCGAGACCTGCGGTTGCCCTGGTAACGTGATTGCTGTCTGCCACGGGTGCCTTGGGAGCCGATTGATGTCGGGGCCGGCATTCCCTTTAAGGCTGGTTTGGTTTCCTCGGCGTATCCTCGATTCCCTTGGCACCTCCTTATCACCCAAAGCACCTTTACGTTTTAGCACGCCATCCCTTTACGTTTTAGCACGTCATCTCTTCTGTCAGGTGTGTGCTCGGCTCGCCCGTAATGTGTCAGCTACTTTCCAATCCCCTCGGACTCACGGGGATACAATGCATAACAGAGGGAAACACTGCCCATGCAGCCTCAAGGTTTTTGTTATGTTTGATCGCGTTCTTGTAGCCATGTGGCAATCTATCTGCTTGAGAGGAGCTAGGCTTGCTTCAGGAGGCTGATAACCCAAACCCTGGTAATTTGAACCGACCAAACCAGCCTCCTGAGCTGGAGAAAGATGCTTGTCTGACGTGCTTTGGACATGCTTGGGAAAGGGTCAGCGAAAAAGAGGAAGCCGCTCAAAAACATGCAACAGCAATCTAAGCATGCTGGGTAGGAAGCCGCTCAAAAACATGCAACAGCAATCTAAGCATGCTGGGTAACAAGTTATGTCATTGGGCGTAATTCTTTTATGAGATAAGAGTTCGAACAAGAAAGTTTGCTCCAAGGAAAAAAAAGAAGTTCCTATGAGAATCGCCAGGTTCTTCTTTCCCCGGATTACAGCTCTGACTTTTGTTATGTGTATGGCTGCTGGTGGTGCAGTGGTTAGCCAATCAACTACCAATCAAGAGGCCAGCAGTGAAGCCCCCCAGCTGCTCGGCTGGAGACAGGGCTAACAGTCTGCGTCCATAAAGATTGCAGCCTTGGAATTCTGAGGGCAATTCTACTGTCTCAGAGGGTCACTCAGAGTCTGAATTGACTCGGCTAGCAACTGTTGGTTAAAACAACCGACATTATTATAATTCTGTCAGTTTCTAAGAATACACGTCAATGCTGCAAAATCAAAAACAAGCCTCGAGTCTGTGCTATCAGAAGTTCTGTTAATTAGGACTATGTCATATTTCTGAGAGCATCCGTTTCCACAGAGGCGATGTCATCGTGAGGCGTTCCAAGCAGTTAAGAAGTCCATAAGCAGCAGCATAGTGGCAGCTGCAAGACTGGCTCCCTAGGCTTCCGTAGATACTGCTGGTAAGGAAACAAAGACCTATTATTATACAGGCAGCAAAAGAAATGAATAAAGGTTTTCCTCCCTTCCCTTTGCTTGTTTTCAAAAAGAGCACAATGTTTATTGAAGAGTAAACTGCATAGTATGTCAGATGATTGTAAACCGATGGAAGGAAGAAAGTGTGAGGGAGGAAGAGCCTGCTGGGGTGGGGTGGTGAAGTAAATTTCTTAATTTGGCTTCTCTATTACTTTCTATATACCTCGCAGTAACTGATTGGGTGGCACCAAACAAATAGGGTGTTTGCAACACTGATAGAGGGGATTGGTCGGCTCTGCTATTCTTCTGTGTCTAAGAGAGCTATCTCAGAAGCAGGAACAGGCAGAGTTCCCAGGACCTCACAGAAGAGCCACCACCAGAGAATGCCCTTGGGAGATCCCTGCTGGAAGTGGCAGAGGCAGCAGGGCCATGCCATGCTTATACCTGAAGTACCAGAACAGAAAAAACTCCGTGCTGAGGCCAGAGACCTTGAGACTGTGATGCCGAGCTGCAGAGGGGCTCCCCAGCCCAGGAAACAAGGCAGAGGTCAAGGGGCCATGTGGCTGAGATGTTGAAGACCAGAAAGAAATGTGGTTGCTTGCTGAGGAAAGGCACCGCTGTGAACCAAAGGCTGTGTTCTTAATGTTTATGGTCCTGACTTGTGATCTGTTAACTTCCTTAATGCACTCCCATAATTGTGAATATTGTCTGTGAGTTCTGCATGCATTGCAACAGATTGTTGAACCCCGCAGAGAAGTAGAGTGCTGTGAGAGGAATCGGTGGTGGCAGAATAGGGTAAAGGAAGATGGAGGGTAGAGGTATGTGTGACCACAGCCTGTATCAATTGGTCTTGCTGTGGTGTCTCGTGCTGTTTATGGTGATGAGCTGGTGGTGAGAATGGAATGTGTGGCAATGGATCCAGGCTCAGTGAAGCATGGGATTTTGTAAGAGAAGAAAAGAAGGGAAAGGAACATTCTGATTTGGGAGTGGTTTCTTTGATCGTTCTTACTTGTAATAACTAAACAGAATATCAGGGATGTTAAAGGGATGTGCAGCTGTGGGCAAGAAAAGCTGGCTGCTTTTGCAGTTGCCTGGGGCAAAAAGTAGCCAGGTTATTTTTGCTTAAATGGTTGTTAGAAGGCCAGGGCTTGCTGGAGTCACCCTACCACAGGACCAAGGCCATATTCATATGAATGAGATAGTCTAAGGTGGACAAGGGGAAATTGAACTTGAATGATTTGAAAGGATTATGTTTTTAGGGTGATATGTTTAGGTGACTGTACTATGGATTTTGATTCCCCCAACCTAGTGTTGTAAAATAGATATAAATGTGTGATAGAAATAAATACTGGGAATTAGGATTACAGAGAGTTTATTAGCTCACCTACAGCCTCTACATGATGGATTTTTGCTAAAAGGGGAGTTAGAAATTGCCAAAAAGAAACAGGGTTTTGTTTTAAACCAATGGGTGATTGGGTGGCACCAAACAAATAGGGTGTTTCCATGGAAATAACCTCAAACAGGTCTTTGATCCTCAGGGTATTTGCATTTGAGAGGCATTCAGACCCACTCAGAACTGCTAACAGAATAGGAAATTCACCTTGGAAGGAACCAAATCAAAACCAAACCCACTGCCATTGAGTCAATGCTGACTCGTAGTGACCCTTGTGAGTGTCTGAGACCCTGTTTAAGGGAGTGGAAAGCCCAGTGTTTCTCCCTCAGAGCCGGTTTTGGTGTTGAACTGCCGACCATGCAGATCGCAACTTGTAACCACTACACCTGCAGTTCTGAAAGGTGAGTGTTTGGGCTTTTTATATTTTGAGCAAACAGTTTGCCTTTGGATGCACGAAGGCCGGA